TTTTTTTCTGAACTCATTTACTTTAATAAAAAAGGGATGTTTTTGTGTGTAATATATAGATTTCCCAGCCATTGTTCTGTTTTGTATGATAAATCAGAAAACACTATAAACAAATTCTGGAAGCAGATAGATTTACAGGGTGAAGGCGGTTGGTGGTGGGAAGATGAGCGGCACCTGGGTCATAGATTTGTTCCCAGTCTGCACACTGTCCAACACACTATCTTCAGTTGGTATGGGCTGAATCTCCTGAATTCTCTCCGGCACCACCTTCCTCCCTCCTCCTTCCACCCTGGCCAACACTTGGAAGTGTGCCGCCACCTTCTCCGGCTTCGTCTTCCACGACGGAAACCGTGACCAATCCACATCTCCGTCGGCTATCTTCTTCTCCACAAAGAAACTCATCTTCATGTAGGTCTGAGCCGACACCTCCGCCTTCAGCAGCCTGAACGTGCCCTTCTCAAGCCCCTTCTTCCCAAGGACTGAAGATAGCAGCTCTTCGAACCCTCTGAGGTTGGCGTCGGAGCCGTTCAACGAGGTGAGAGGCCAGAGGTTTCGCGGCGGGTTGGGTACATCTTGGGGGGATGGTGCAGGGATGGAGGAGCGGGAAGAGAGCTCGACTAGACCTGGAGAGAGGCGTTTTAGCTTGAGCTTGGGAGAGGAGGATGTGGATGAGGTGAGGGACGAGGGGCCGACGATGCGAAGAGAGACTAGTGGTTGGTCGGACGAGCGTGCGGAGCTTCGGAGAGCCTCGGCTATGTTTAGGAGACCAGAGGCGATGGGGAGTTTGCTACGATTTAGGGGGAGGGGGAGGTCGAGAGGGCGCCACAAGCTTACTGACCGGGCCCCTTTTACGATCACCGCTGCTCCATCGGAGAGAAGAACCTTCTTTAGGGTTCCGGCATCAACATCATGCTGCATATATGAAGTTACATTACAGTTTGTCACACAATTCATGTCTCAGTTATTCATGGCTTAACGTTTAAACAGTGATATCTTTTATGTGATATTGATACTCAATCAACAAATTTTTATAATCCGATATGAATCTCGAGGCACAACATGAATCAAAATAATATTTGGGCAAGGATTTATTATAAGTGAAAGAAAACTAGAATTGAAAGAATTTTATATTAGATGATTTTATGTTTATTTATCAAACACCAAAACTTTAATTTTTACATATAAATGCATTTTTCTGAATTGTTTTTTTTTTTT